CACTGGTGGTTTAGGGATGGCTGAGGAGGATGGGAGTATGGATGTAAATGTAATGATGGGACCTATTGGCCTTAGTAAAAAGGTCCACAGCCAGCCTGTTTGTATTAATGATGTTGCCCCTGCCCCTGGTGTTGTTGCCCCTGCCCCTGGTGTTGTTGCCCCTGCCCCTGGTGTTGTTGCCCCTGCCCCCGGTACTATGGCCCCTGGTGTTGTTGCCCCTGCCCCTGGTGTTGTTGCCCCTGCCTCTGGTTATGTTGCCCCCGCCCCCGGTACTATTGCCCCTGCCCCCGGTACTATTGCCCCTGCCCCTGGTACTGTTTCCCCTGCCCCTGGTTATGTTGCCCCCGCCTCAGGTTATGTTGCCCCTGCCCCTGGTTCACTGGAGTTAGTTGGTACACAGGTGGCGGGCACGAGCACAGGCACAGGCACCCTGACAAAGGGTGCCGCGGTTATAAATAGTTTAGACGCACAAGCAGGTACACGGGTTCCCCTTAGGCACTCCCAGGTTGTCACCCAGGGTTCTGGTGTGACCGAGGCCTCTGGTTCAGCGAGGGGAGTCCTTCCGAATCATTCCCAGACGGCGGGTCCCGGTGCGCCCAATGCTTGGGCATCTGGGCCACCTCGCCTCTCTGCGGACGGGCCTGCTACGCGTCCTCAGGTTTCCTTTAGGAACAGGAGGAACGTGGTACGGCTCATCTGTGGGGGTGAGACCCAGGTGCCTGACAGACGGTGGCTGGTGACCCGGCTAAAGGATATGGGATTTGCGCCCGTGGACCTGTACGCGCTCATCCATGCCTCGGGCACCCGGGAGTTCGACGTTTCCTTTATGACGTCGCAGCTCCTGGATCGCTTCTGGGCTGGGTGGGAAGCGGCCAGGTCTGCACAGGGTACAAAGTGGGCAGGATTCACCGCTGTGGCCATTTCTCGCCAGGGTCTTAAGAAGGTCACTTTCCTGGTGAGAAATGAATCCATCCCCATAGCAGACATCCTTGTTTGGACTAAGAGGTTTGGGGATGTTAAATCCCCCCCTGTTAAGATCTTAGATGAGGATGGGATTTGGACAGGCGGATGGACTGTTTCAGTGTTGCTGCGGGAGATTCGAGGTGTCACACAGCATATGCCTAATAGTTTTTTCATCGGGGCTGACCGGGTATCCTGTTTTTACCCTGGTCAGCCCAGGGTATGTCACAAGTGCGGATCGTACAGGCATTACAGCAATGCCTGTACGGTCCTCAAATACACTATGTGCGGCGCTGTGGGGCACCTCCGGGACAGCTGCAGGGAGATCCGGTGTCATCTGTGTTCAGAGATGGGTCACACGTACCGCACCTGCCCCGAAGCCCAGCACAATGTAGAGTCCATCTGGAGTCAGGAGCCGGTGGAGATGGACTCTGCTGGGTTAGGGGTTCAGGTAGCATCGTCATCTACAAGGCCCATCTCTGGCACAAGGGTTTCCCTGCCCCAGCAACAACCCATCCTCCCCTCGGTCTCTGTAACATCTCAGGACCCTGGGAAGGCCACAAGTTCACGTCCCCTCACGAAAAGTGTACGTAGAGAACGCACTACCTCCACAGCCATTATGGCTCCCCCTAGACCCCCTCCCCTAGGCCCCCCCCTCCTAAATTCTCCACGGTGAAGGTTACCCCCACTGAAAAGTCCCCAGATGCACGTCCCTTAGATGCACAGTCCCTAGAGTGGTGAAAGGTAAGAAACCCCCCCCCTCCAAGACCTCGACGCTGCCCTCACCCCGGAAGATCGCCATACCCCCTGCGGCGAAACCCCCGAAAGGGGGAGACGCCACTTATAAGGGTGGTTGGCACAGGCATCATCCTCCTCTTCGGGCTTGCAGGAGGCCC